CGAAAGATGGATAAAAAGGCGCACAGCAAACAAAAACCTCGAAAAATGATATGCGACCCGCCAAATGCTGGCCAAATCACAGAGATGCCGATTCGCACGGGACTAATATTATCACAGGACCTCGGTGTTTGGCGAAATATGGTCATTTGCAGGGGAATTTTTACTTTACAAATTACAGACATGGCCGATTCGGATGCGGATTAAGATCAGGTAATACTAATCCCGTGAGAATAGGGCTATAGATTAAAGCCCTATTCGCACGGGATTAGTATTACCTGGTGACCTCCAGTCATTTGTAATAATTGTGGAGGTTGTCTGTGATCTTAATCCCGTGCGAATCGGACATGTCTGTAATTTGTAAAGTAAAAATTCCCCCGCAAATGACCTACCATATTTCGCCGAACACCGATAGTCTCTTGCGAATCAGCATCTCTGTGATTTGGCCTGCGTTTGGCCTGTCGTATATTATTTTTCGAGGTTTTTGTTTCCTGTGCTACTAATCCCGTGAGAATAGGGCTATAGATTAAAGCCCTATTCGCACGGGATTAGTATTACCTGGTGACCTCCAGTCATTTGTAATAATTGCGGAGGTTGTCTGTGATCTTAATCCCATGCGAATCGGCCATGTCTGTAATTTGTAAAGTAAAAATTCCCCCGCAAATGACCTACCATATTTCGCCGAACACCGATAGTCTCTTGCGAATCAGCATCTCTGTGATTTGGCCTGCGTTTGGCCTGTCGTATATTATTTTTCGAGGTTTTTGTTTCCTGTGCACTTTTTTATCCATCTTTCGCGAAGAATGGAGCTGCATTGGAGTGTTTAATAGTATTTTGGGTGCTGTTATATTGCTATTTGCAGAAAGAAAAAGCTGAAAAGGTTTTGAGGTTAATGTGTTACAAAGCAAGCATAAAGCTTGAGATATTATTTTAACCTGGTGAAATGTAAATGTCACAGGGCATGAAACTATATTGGTTTCTTTTTTTTAAAATCCAAATTACCGGACCATAGAACGGGACTCTCAAAGCCTTGACATCCAGTGTTGCCAGATTGGATGGACAATTTCCAGCCCAAAAGCTCACAAAAACCTGCCCAAAAACCGCCCAAAACTTTAACTGTCAAAATAATGTGATAGAATATGTAAATCAAGGTTGATAAGGGCCATTTTAACTCCTTAAAACAAAATATTGACGACAATATAATATAAATATAACGTTAGATAAATTTCGCATTCAGGTAAATGGATCAAATCGGGGCAAATAGCCTACTACATTAAAGAGAATATGAATAAAATATGCAAGCAAACACTGTCAAAACGGCAATCAAGAAATTAACCGATACCCTCGAAACAACACAATGTCCGCAGTCAGAATAATTCAATTTAAATGCAAAAAGTGCCCGATAGATAGCCTAAGTGATAGGAAAAAGCAACGTATTTAGCAGGTAGCCTATTTCACACTCGTTCATGCACACACCATGACAGTCAACTCAAAACTGTCATTCATTGATTCTTAATTATAATCCGACAATTACAAAAATAACAACAACAATAATGCGCTTAACTTCGTGTCGCTCTATAATTTTACACAGAACTA